TTTTTTTTGGATTCATCATTTTGATTATCGTGATTTTTTGTCGTCTTTTGCACCACATTTTCACCCGACTCGTCTCCCGTCTCCCGTTCTCCATTCGAATTACCAGCAAACCTAGAATAGTGTATGTGATCATTTCGCTGTTTTTATCAAATTAAATAGTTATTTCATATCAGTAATCTTGATTAATATCATATCAATAATGTTCAAATTCATTTGATGACATTCAAGCCGTAGGGAAGTGAGTAGACATTAATTGATCGCAGCAGCTATATCGACACATATCCATGTTCATCTCCAATTACATTTTGCTCGTCCACATTTCTGTGTTCACTGCATGACACATGTGTATTTTCGTCGTCTACACAAGCAATTTCCTGAGCACCCAAAATAGACTGCATAAAATATGATACGGCGAATCTATTTCTCATTAGTGCATTAGTTCATGAATGAATTTATTCGGATAGTTCTGAACGGAAACAATCATATTGTTAAGTGTTGAAGAGCCATGAGGAGAGTCATAAAAACGTATGCTGATTGAAATAAAAACTGAGAGTGCATCGATTGATTCAATAAAGCTGTATTGTAAAACTGTTTTAGAAGTATGACAGGAAAATGATTGATGATATGCTGTCAGTTTAGTGAAGAAGACATGAATGAATGTAGTGAGAACGTGTGATCAGATAAGCCGTTTACATGGATACGTATTAATTAGTGTGGTGTTTTATGTTAAAGAGCCAGTGCACTGTAGACTTGTTTCGTTAGCATTTTATGACGATGCCCACAGAATAGATAATGTTTTGTTGCTGGCAAAATTGATAAGATTACATCAAAACGAGTCGTATTATATTTTTGTTTTATCAGATCTATTATTCACTGACGAGTACGTTCTGAACTGAACATACGTCGGTGGTTTGTTGTGCTCTTTTGTTCGTTTGTTCGTCAAAATTGCACCTACACACCAACAAACACCCACCCACCCACCTATCCATCCATCCACCCATCAGTCGATTCATCAATCCATCCGAACAGACAGATAGAAAGACGAAAAACTGACTAATTGAATGATAAGGATAGTGAGTAGTGGTAAAAGCGACGAGCAATTGTGAATTTAGGTGATTTATTCGTCGTCGTCATCGTCACCGACGCTCGACGGTCATCGAACCGACGACGCTAGTTATCAGCCGAGTAAAGAAGGAGATGAGAGCGGCAGCAACAAAACGATATCGCAAGCAAGTGCGTCAGCCGATGGTATCATCACTACCCCGAAAACAGTATTGTCATGCAATGACCGTAAGAGTGTTGCACATGAATTGTCGTCGTCATTAACACATCAGCAGCAGAACACACCTTGTTTGCAAGAAGACATGAACACTGCACAAACTCAAACATTAATCACTGCTCGTGGACATAACTATATTGCTGGTGGTGGTGCTGATACGAGGAGTCATCTTAAATCATCAAACGCACAGCAACAAACATCTTCGTATTTTGCACAACAGCAACAGACGTGGACTGATGAAACGACTGGTAATAATCATTTGGTGGATGATAAACAGCAGAGATCAATGCACCACCACGAGCAACAATCAGCAGTTGTGTTGAGTTATCATAATCGATTGTATGATGCGAATGGTCGTCTTCAGGATGGTGTGGAAATTTTGGACGAGGGTCGATTGCATCTTAATCAAACATCTGCTGTTAGTGGTGGTGCTGTAGCCGTGGAAAAAGGACAGCCACAGCCACATCATCATCACCGTCATCAGCAGCAACAGTCACAAGGAGAACAAGGAGGAACGGCTGAGGAAATGGATAGATATGTGGAAGAATTTTTGAGACAACATCAGAAATCAATGCAACCGAACGCCGCCGCAGCATCAGCATCGTTGTTGTCGTCAACATCGGACGATCAGCAGCATTATGCAGATGAAATGAATGTGAAGCAGATCATATGCGATAGCAACAGTGAGATGATAACATGGATGGATGAGGGTGATAATGGTGGTCAAGATGTGAACAAGAAGCAAACAATTCAGGCAGTTACAAATACAGCAGCATCAGCAGCAATCAACAACTCATCAAACTGCGCGCGATCAGCAGCACCCACCACATCGACACCGATGCACGTGCGTCCACAGCAAAAACAGGTACTTCTAGTTGAGACATTACAATTAGCCAATAATGCACGCCTGCCTACTCATCTTGCCCATTTATAATATTTACTATCGCTATTAATCTATCAATCTATCTGTCTAGATGATAGTGAAGTAATAATTAGATTTTAACGTATTGTTTTGTACGTGTGGGTGTTTGTGTGTGTNTCATCTAACTGGATAGCTTGAGGAAAGTATTTTAGAGGTGAATAGCATTGCTGAAATTGATTATGTACAATGAATGAATGACATTCACAAAAACTACATTGTTTAGGCAGTGAGCGTTTGGATGAAACGATAATAATGAATTTCACTCGAGTTGTTTCACTCATAGGGGAGCGGAGAGTTTGCTAGGTGCAGATATTCAACATGACCATTAGATCAGATTAGAAAAATTAATGTGTTTTGATAAATTTAGTGGAGGACATCAGCAGCCAGCAGTTTAGGTTGTATGCACGTCGTCACTGCATGATATTAGCTATGTTTGTGTGTCTTTATTTCTTCACAGTTCTTAAGCACTTCTCATTTGAATATTCGCATTTGAGAACAACAAAACATTAGGAGTTAGTTTATAGTTATTGAAATATAATAGATCAAATAAGAAAAACATGAATTTAATGAGTATCACTTGAAGGTTTTTCATATAATTTCATTGCTTTTTGAGAGGTAGTTTCATGAGGGATTCACTTTGCAAAAACAGTCATTTGAAAGTTATCTTCCTTTTTTGTTGCAAAACAACAATACAATAAGTATTCATGCAGATCGCTCCTTCCAAAAATCAGTCTTATTGTTAAATGTCTCACGCGCGGGCAAGCCACTATTTGAGTTGAGATTTCGGTATTGTTGAGAAAGTAAGAAAACAAAACAAAAATGAAAATCCTTTTCAAGCATTTGTCTTTTGGTTCGATCGAAGTGAAGTGTTATTGTGTTCTTTCAGTCATCCATCGTACAAGAACCATCTTCGTACGATTATGGAGTGCCATCATTTGAGGCAGTGCCCTCATCGAATACACGACGGAGTCTTCCGTCTCGTGGCAGAGGAGGCGCTAGAACTGTTAGTAATTCAGTGATAATCTATATTACAGCATAGAATTCCGCATCCAGTTTTCAAATCCTTTATCGTGGATATTCAAACATATTAATTGTGAACACTTACTTTTGGACGGAATAAGATAATTGAAGCGAAAGTTGAGAATCACTTCAAAAGACGACAGTGCTTCCGAATGTTTATTATGAAGAAAGTAAGGGGGGATCATTTACAGTCGAGAATTCGTTCATCGCAGAGTGCCAATTATGCTGGAGGAGGTGGTAGTGGTCTGCCAATAGCAACAGCAGGAGCAGCAGCACATCAGCAACAACAAGTGAAGACCATGCACCCATCTCAGTCCCCTATAAGATCAGCCAAACCACATTCACAGGTTGCGAAATTGTATTCAGTGTTCATTGTATTGTATTGTTGCGAAATTGTATTCAGTGAAGACCATGATACACTTTCTTTCGTTTTGATTCGTGGCTCAAGTGGTCGCTTCGAATCGACTCAAAGCAAATTTCGGTATTGTTTCAGTCACCGTATCGCGCCAGTGGCCCACGTCTATCGTCTACTCCAAGTGGTGCGGCCACAGCGGCAGCACATCGTCAAATCCCGACGTCACCAGGCCATGTGGCCGGTGTGTTCTCATCGTCTGCACAACACACACCAGCAGCTGTGTTGTCACCACCCCGAATACGATTGCACAGTCGAAATACAACTGGTGTCATTCAACAGCAATTGTCAAACGATGAGTTCATTAAGCAACAACAGCAAATCTCATCTCAGCACCTTATCCCAACCCAACCTCCACCGATTTCAATGCCTCATTCGGATATGCTGGTAAATGATGCTAAAACAAGCAATCAAAATGAAACAAATAGCAATAGCAACATATTGCTCACACAACCACAACAGTATCAATCATCATCAGATCAGAGTCAACTCAGTTCACCTGAGCAACAACAACAGCATCATCATCAGCAGCAGCACGTTAATGCAATGCCTCCTCAAAATATTGTCGCGGAGCAACAAGATCACGCAATGATGTCAGCTGCTACAACACCAAATATTCATTATTTGGCGGCGTTAGGTTAGCATTTTTGTGATTTTTTTAATGTTTGTTTTGGTGTTCTGCTTCTTTTTTTTTTGATGGTCTCAGTGATTTTCAGTGGAATTTGCTCAGTGATTCACTCATTTTTTTATTTGAATAGATTCATCACAGATAGTAGTGTTTTTACAGTCAATAATCTGTTTGCACTCTCATTGACGAGTGATTAAATTTTATCGCCATGAAAGTTGTGTGCATTTTGATCAAATCAATTGGATCTGTGTCGTTCATCGTTTTTCTTCATTTGAATCTGTAGTGTTTTGATAGTTGAGTTGATTTGTGAGCAGAATGACTGAAGAGTTCTGTTTGAAGCTCAGCAATCTGCTGCAGCAGCAGCGTCACAAATGCAATTGCAAGGTGGTGTTCCAATGGACACCCTGAATTATGCTCAACAACAACAACAACAAGCGCACAATACGAACGCACCGAACAACACAAGGATGATCGAGATACCACCAGCCCACTTGAGTCATCTACAAGCAGCAGCGTACATCAACGAAGAGTTATCAAGTGGCGATGAATTGCTGCTAGCGCAAACTGCTGAGCATCTGCAACGGGGTCAATTCAATGCACCAACTCGCCAACCACTACTCATGGGTAGATCGTCAACTAGTGCTGCTGAGGAAGAGAATAGTTTCACGGGTTTGTTTTCAGTTGAATTGATTTCGGATTCATTTGGAGGTTATTGTGTAGAAGTGGTTGTAGTGGAAATGTGTAAGGGTATTGTGATGCAAAAGCAAAAATTGAAGAAAGTTTTGAATATTGGTGGTGTTATTTCGAGGCTTAATTGAAGCGTTTTAAAGGGTTGCTTATTACCTTATGAGTAAAACTGTATGAAATGTATATGTGTGAATAATATTAATAACGTGATGAATAAGAGAATAACATAATCAGTGATGAATTTTGCGATTGGTTGTTCGATTGGAAGAATTTTCAGAGGATTTGACGGAAGAAAAAGGTACCGAAGAAGAATGCGGTGGCGATAGGCGAAGGGTTGAGAACAACGCGTATTCGTCGTCACAAAGCGATGCCGATGACAGCACGAATGGGGAGGAAGATTCGTGGGGTGAAGACTACACGACCAGATGCCTGTGCGGTTTGGATCATAACGATGAGTTTATGATTCAGTGCGATGTTTGCAAGTGAGTGTCGTTCTTTGTTTTTGATTTCACATATAATAATTCGTAACAGTGGTAACTGAGAAGATAAGAACTGCATTTTCGTATTGCCTTTCGAGAGGTATCATTATTATTGCTCTAACGAGTGTTATAAGTAAGTGAATGTTATAAACTCGAGTTATTGTAAGTGTTTGTTTGAATGCAATAAGTTAGAATACAAATTGATTGATGTTTGATGAATGCATGAAATGTGCGCCGATTCAAGGGTATGGCAACACTGTAAATGTATGGGAATGGATCGAAAGCACATTCCAAAAGTGTACAAATGTGAAGTGTGCAATCCGAGGCCGTTGAAAATGACCAGGACTGAGGCACGTGACATGCAGTTGAAAGCGCTGGCGAAACTTCGCAAAGAAAAGGAACGACGAAAGACGCGCACTGCGAAACATAAAGATGAACGAAGTGGTAGCAAGAAGAGACAGATGACGACAAAAACGGTTAGTGAACCTGAGGAATGAAACCTCAACCTTCAGTCATTTATGAATCGTGTAGGGGTATAAAATCGATGAAATGATGTGCTCTCGATGAGAAGAATATGCAT